ACCAGCCCGGAAGAGAGAGCAATTAGCAATTTAGGGGGGAATAAGCTTGGACAGGGGGTATGCATTATCGAATTTAGGGGGGATCAGCCCAGGAGGGGGAGACCCAGTTTGCATTTAAAAAAATCAAGCCCAGAGAGGGGGCACCATATATGTAGTTTGGGGAGATTGGCCCACCATGGTAGGGCAGTTAGGGAGTTCAGCACCACCAGAGGGGGAGCATTAAGCCATTTAGGGTGATCAGGTCAGGAGGAAGAGAAGATTTAGGGGGATCAGCCCAGCAAGGGGAGACCATTTAGCCATTTAGGCGGATCAGCCCAGGAGGGGAGAGCAGTTAGGCAGTTACGGGAATCAGGTCAGCAGGGGAGAGCATTTAGGGCCATTAAGCAGGCAGGCAGGTGAGCATTTAGGAGCCAGTGATTCCGGATTGTGAAAGGGATCCTGGATTGGAGAGGCTTCAAGCTGGGCTGAGGGACCGCCCCCCCCCCCACCCTGTGTATGAATTTCGTGCACTGGGCCTCTAGTATAATAGATATTGTAGTGCAACCTGCTGCCCAAATGGAGATTCTAGCAGCCGGGGAATGGAGCTGAAAGAAATGATAGAATTAGGAGTTTAGACAAAACTTTAAGAAGTTCAGTTAACCTGTTACCTAAGGACATATTCAGAAAACCCCTTCAAATGATATAAAAAGGAAAGGACTGATATTACATGAGAAAAAACCATATCCTTGGAGGGTAGCAATTTGAGTACTTATCTCTCTGACTAAATAGCAATCATGTGTCTATATATGAGTTTGTTAAATAAAATAAGCAATCAAATACCTTGTATTATTTATATCCCCCACACCATTCCCTCAATATTATACTAGGGAACCTCAGAATTATATCTATGGTATGTCCAAAAAGCCTGGCCAGGACCTTACTTGTTACAGCTCATCTCACCCAGCTTCCTGGCCTGCTAGGCTTGTGGACCTTAGTTGTTCTAGGATCACCCTGGGAACTCCATGTGCAGATAGAGCCCAGAGAACCACAGAACACATCATGATAGGATCTACCCCTACCTCCTGCCTGCCAATCACTATCTCTGCCAATGCAGTAGTTTATATCAGTTTGGTTTAATGCTTATGGTGATTCCTGGGGTTGCTAAAATTACTTTATAATTTCTATTATTTAAATGTGATATCTAGTTACAAATGTTTTATTTTTGAAAAAAAATCCAATTATTCCTACCCCATTCCAGATTAAAGAGAAAATAATAAACCTGTACAAGGAGCAGCGTGAATGTTAGCGAGAACACTGCTCAGGCCACAATCTTGGACATCTATCAGAAAAGAGTGTCCTTCCTGCTGGGGGGAATGTCCCTTCCACCTAGAGAAGGGCTTCTTTCAAAAGCTGATACACAGATATGCATAACCCATGGTCACAGACACTAATGTGGTGAAGGCCTGGGGGGTGCAGGGGGAAAAACGGGACATGTAATGCTTTCAGTAATAAAGAGACATTTAAAAAGAGGAAAGAAAAAGGAAACAAAAGCTTATGTGTAATTTGGAGGGCTCTATATTGTATGTAGCCCCTTGTGCATTACTTTTTTGTTATTATTGATGAACTCTAGTATACAGGGTTGGGATTTTAGGTTAAACTGCAGCCAGCAGAGTCAGTCACTGTTGAACTTGGGCCTGAGGACATGTAGTCTCTAGTAGCATTTGTAATTCAATCTAGGTCAAAATGTTTGAAAGATTTTAATATATTTGAAACTTTTTAGCCTGGGTGAGGGGCTGATGGCTGTTTTCAGGCTGGCCACACCCCCTTTTGGGTGGGGGGTCCCCACTGAGGTTCCTGGCCAGTCTGGGAAAGTTCTAAATATTACTATGATAATCATGATTACTAATATTTATTGCATGCAGGTTCTTTGTTTGCTTATTCATCTTATATTTATTATACGCCTGGCACTCTGTTAAGAGCTCTTATTCATTCATTGGCAAAGACAACAGCTGCATTCTGGATTAAGAAAATTGGTGGATTATAGTTCTAATGAGATACATAGGGAATAGATTTGATGAGGAGCATCAAGTTTATAATTTCAGATATTTTAGTTGAGTGAAGCCAGAGGAATATTTGAGTGGAAATGGAGACTATGCTGCCAGAGCTCAATGTATCTGGAGCTCAGGGGAGAGTGCTGGGTGAGAAATAAACTGTTAGGAGTTGTCCGCATATGCCTAGCACTCTGTTCTTAGGCTTATGAACCCCGCAAAGTTCCTAAAATTGCCCCCATTTCACAGATGCTGAGACTGATGCCTAAGGAGATAAAAAAAACTTGAAGGAAGTCATGTATGTAGTGTCCAAAGTGGCAGAACCAGGGTTCGGGATCAGGTAGCCCTAACCACAAAGTCTCTACAGTGAGCTCTTTCCATGAGCAACCTGAACATAAACACTCAGCTTCTTAGCTAGTCAGAAACCAAACCCCCTCTCACAAAAGACAAGGTAGCCCCTAAAAGGACACTGATGAGGCTAGTGAAAATAATATTTTAGTAATTAAGCACGGGGGCATTACAGAGGACACGGGTGGGGGGGAGGCATTGGAGATAAACAGATTCCAGATAATTTGAGATATTTGTTGTAAATGCCTCTATTCTTACCTTTTGTGCTGATGGAATTTTTGTTTGTGTTAAGGAAGGTTTGGACAAGGGCTTGACCTGCTTCATGGTGTCTCCCTCGCACAGCGTCCACTAAAACCCGGGCCTTGTCTCCAGGTTTGGCGTCATTGAATTTTTTCTTCTCAGTTTCCTCCAATTTCAGAACATCTTTTTTCACCAACCCATCCAAAACTTCAACTAAGAGGTCTTTCCCGATGGATTCCAAAGCCTTAAGTGGGTTTTTGTTGAGTTTATCTGTCAGAAATACAAAGACTCCTTCAACTGTGGGCAAAACCTAAAGAGTTTTGCACTATATTTTGAGACCCCCCCTGAAAGGTGAAATACCTTCTGACTATTTCAATGTTTCCCCAATAAAATACATCCCTCTTTCATTGTACCTGTGGCATTCTGTCAGTGCATAATAAACGTACTAGGCTTTGTTTAATGACTATTGTCCCTTAGATTTTTGGATAGCTTCCTATCTTCTTTCTCTGACATTGAGCTTAATGTCACCCACCGGTCTTATATTTCTCTACTTTTCTCCATCTCATAGTGATGATGTATGCTCCAAGAAAAGTCCATGCTCTTGTCCCACCAGACCACAGAATCTATTTTCTCTCTGTATTTAGTTTTCCTGGTGAAAGCACTATGAATTTGAATCCACAATCTGTATCCACATATCTTAGTAACATCTTTGTGCTTAAATTCTTAAAAGTACTTATAGGCTAGCTCAGTGGTCCGCAAACTCATTAGTCAACAGAGCCAAATATCATCAGTACAAGGATTGAAATTTCTTTTGAGAGCCAAATTTTTTAAACTTAAGCTACATAGGTAGGTACATTGTTATTAACTTAATTAGGGTACTCCTAAGGCTTAGGAAGAGCCACACTCAAGGGGTCAAAGAGCCACATCTGGCTCTCGAGCCGCAGTTTGCCGACCACGGGGCTAGCTGAAAACATGAGTTAATGAATAAGTGAATAAATGCATCTAGGCTCCTAATACTTTAAAATCTTGTCTCAATCAAAACTTAGAGTTGGAAAAAATCTTCTGACTAATCTTTCAAGATGGTAGATTAATTTGATAACAGGTTAATTTATTATTGCCTGGGATAGTTTGAATTTTTATAGAGGAATATAGAAGTCAATGTAATAAATGATTTTTTTAATACCACAGGTATGACTTAGACATATATGGGAAGGCAGGATATCTCATCAATTCTCAATTAATTCTAAGATAATTATTCAGTCCATCTAGATATAAGGATAGCCTTGACACAAAATGACAGTTTCTAAAGAAAATGTGCCAGAACATTGAACAAGAACTTGAGCCCAGAAACACTAGCTTCATTTTCTTTTCTTTTTTTAAATATGTTTTATTGTTTCTTTCAGAGAGGAAGGGAGAGGGACAGAGAGTTAGAAACATCAATGACAGAGAAACATCGATCAGCTGCCTCCTGCACACTCCCTATTGGGCATGTGCCCACAACCAAGGTACATGCCCTTGACTGGAATCGAACCTGGGACCCTTGAGTCCCAGGCCAACTTGCTATCCACTGAGCCAAACCAATTAGGGCCACTAGCTTCATTTTCCATGTCATCTTAAATTATTTCAATAAATGTTTATTTAGTAGTGATTATGGAAAAGAAACATGGAAATTACAAAACATAAATTAAATGTTACCTTATATCAATTAGCTTAATTGCAGCTAACATCTCTTGTCCACTTAAATTTAATGAAAAATAAATACATATAAAGCAATGTAAAACATCATTATCACTATTATTATTATTATTACTATTATTATTTACATGCCTCTGTACTAAATACAAACATTAATATGCCATATCCTCACAATAATCTAATGAGATAGCCATTCATTTTCTCTATTTCAAGACCATTTGCCCCAAATCACACAAATTGGGATTCACATTCTATTTTTACAACACAGCTTCAGTAATAATAATTCATATTTATCAAGCCCCCACTGGTGCCAAGTGCTATGCATGAATCTTCTCATTTAAACTCTACCAAAACTCCATCTAACCTGAATATTAATAATTCTATTATATAAAAAAGAAAGCAGACACAGAGAAATTGGTTAAGTAATTGACCCAAATTGTATGTTTAGTGCACCGTGTGTATAGTTAGTGGAGAGAAGGGAATCAAACTCAGGGGTTCAAAGCCCCCCCCAACTCTTAAATCATCAAAGTACATCACATGATACTTGGTGAAGAATTACTTAAAATAATGCAGTGTTTCAGGGACTCAAAGAAGACTTGGTAAATTTCTGCAGGTGAGATAGAAAAGGTAATGAAACACGGAGATACAATTGTCAGAAGCCAATTCCAGCATGTCAGCAGGGTTGAATCATCTGGAAATGGCTGAGGGCATTTCCCCAACCCTGAAAAAGATGCATCAGTGATTGCTTGCTGCAGACAGCTGAGGGCATTCAATCTACATGTTATTGCCTCCTACTGGCCAAACACCTGAACAGCTGAAAGCAATTCCTCCAATCTGACAATGGATTCTGTATAGTAGCCCTACCCTTTGATGTATATATCTACTTTGCCTCAGGACAATTTGTGTTAATAAAAAGCAAGGGGTCCTGAGACAAGGAGAACTTAGTTCTTCAACTAAGTCTTCTCTGGACCCCCAAATGCCTTCCAAAATTATGTTTCATCTCTGGACTCGTGATTAATTTATGCCACAGCCCTTCTCCAGATTCCTGAACCCTTCTAGATGCTGGATTAAGACCCCCGGCATTATACAATATAGTATACAGATGTTAGAACAGAGAGTTTGAAGAATTGCAAACAGCATACAGGTTAGTGTATGGAAGATTTAATCTACCTGAGTTCTGGGCTTCAGTTTCCTTTACTAGCATCTGTGCACTCAACAAGGTGGTATAGAGTCGACTGAATGAATGGCATGGGGAGAAATGTGGTACACAATACAACCAGAGTTTGGTCTTAGGTACTCTTCTCATCATCTCTACATTCTCATGGCTTCATTATACATTACTCCCAAATTTATGCATTCAGCCCAGATGTGGATACTAAAATTGAGACTCATATATCTACCTCCTCTCAATATACCACAAAGTTATTAAACTCATTTTCATAAAATTGATCTTTATATATACCTTCTCTGTTCCCTTTACTAGTAAATGATATCTAAACACCAAGTTCATCACATGTTAATAGTGAATCTCTCCTGTTTTCTGAATAACTGATTTTCCATCTCATGTTAAATTGTATTGATTTTCTCTACTAAATATTTATAGAATCTGCCCACTTCTCTCATTTTTAATTACACATTATTCCATTTCAGGCCAACATCCTTCCTTTTCCTAATTACTTCAGGAGCTTTATAAATCTACTTCTGGTTCCTTCTAATCTGTTTTCCACAATGAAACAGAGTTAGGATGCTAAAATCTAGATTTAATAATGAAACTTCTGAGCTTAATCTAATGTAAGTCTTCTCATTCATCCATCCTCAGTCTCTATCACTTACCCACCTTGCTCATTACCTTGTTTCTAGAAGACCCTTACTTAGGAAGCTCTATGTGGGCAGTCTCCCAACCCCACATTTCTTCCTGTTTCCCCACTGCTCCCTTATTCTTTATATCTCAGATGAGATGTAATTGTCTTCAGGAAATCCTACCTGAGGCTCCCAAACTAGACAGAGTGTCAGAGGTATAAGCTCCAGATGCCTTGTTTCTCACTAGGCTAGTAATTTTCCCCTTGTGCTTGTTAATTGTATAATAATGGCTAACCAAATTTGGTTGTTTATATTTATTGGGCTATTTGTTTTTGTCTCTTGCCTTTCCGTTTGTCACATCTATTATCTAATGATTCCCTGATTCCAAAATAATAATCAGTGAGGCCTTCCTGCTTGGCCAAAGGTGCAGCCATGAGTGTGAGTTTCACTCACTACTCTCCAGCCAAAGGCTTCCTGAAGAAAACAATCAATCCTTGTAGTATAGGAACTTAAGTAAAATGTCATGAGATGAGTCATAAACCCTGGAGCAGTGGTTCTCAACCTTCCTAATGCCTCGACCCTTTAATACAGTTCTTCATGTTGTGGTGACCCCCAACCATAAAATTATTTTCGTTGCTACTTCATAACTGTAATTTTGCTTCTGTTATGAATCATAATGTAAATATCTGAGATGCAGGATGTATTTTTATTGTTACAAATTGAACATAATTAAAGCATAGTGATTAAACACAAAAACAATGTGTAATTATATATGTGTTTTCCGATGGTCTTAGGCGACCCCTGTGAAAGGGTCGTTTGACCCCCAAAGGGGTCGCGACCCACAGGTTGAGAACTGCTGCCCTGGAGAGATTATACTATGAAGAGCATAGTATATATAAAAAAGGAAGGTAAATACAGTAAATATAAAATGTGTTTGTGAAGTTAAATTCATACTTTAGAGAGATTAATGGAAAAATGGATAAACATATTTTAACAGGTAGAAAAACCTGTCTGAAACGTTCAGACATTTTTTAAAAAGCGCCTGGGAGACACTGTAGTTCTGAGTAAGAAAATTACATGTAGAGATGCCTAGAATGTGAGAACTGCAAGATAACTAATTACTTTTCCTAATCATTCTAATCTGCAAATAAACCTGTGCCAGACCAGCTATATAAGAATTACCCGCAGATCTTTATAAGGCTAGGAATGCCTATTTAAGATGGACTCATTCAGGGGCAGGATAACCGGAACTTTTAAAAATGACTGTAGATTATTCAGGTTTGTTATAAAGTTTAGAAACCGATGACCTCGTTGAACCCCTTCCTTTCAGATGAGGAGAATGAAACAAAAAAGTGACAGGACGCGCTTGACTACGAGCTGCACACATAGCTCATCTCGTGCTTTTCCCGCTTCTGTGTATAAGCAACAGGATGGATTGGAGGGTTAAAACCTGGAGAGGAAGATCCGATCCGTTAAAAAACTGTGATAGCGATCTAGGAAAAACTGCACTCGAGTCCTCAGCACCAGGGCTAGAGAGAAAGGGGAAGAGACAGTCTCCTCAAAAGACCAAGCGCCTAATTCAATCCGGGAGGAGGCAAAGGGAGCGGGAATTCAAAGTTCGCCTACTAGGTCGGCAAACTCATTAGCCAACAGAGCCAAATATCAACAGTACAAAGATTGAAATTTCTTCTGAGAGCCAAATTTTTTAAACTTAAACTGTATAGGTAGGTACATTGTTATTCACTTAATTAGGGTACTCCTAAGGCTTAGGAAGAGCCACACTCAAGGGGCCAAAGAGCCGCATGTGGCTCCAGAGCCGCAGTTTGCCAACCACAGGTGGGATCCTGGGCGAGTGTTTGTCACCCAGATGACTAATTTAGAAACAGCTGGAGGCCAGAAGATTACAGAGGGCATTTAGACTCTTCAAGAGTTGTCTCACACAACAATAACTTCCTCCATTTGTCTTCTCCCTCCCCTTCATTACCAAGAGCTGAAAGAAAGGAATTAACTTTTCCTGGGTCTAAAAGACCTGGAAACCTTTTATTTCCACCTTTCTAAGGCAATGTCCCCTGGATGAGTCAAGTTACACAGACCCGATAAGGGGAAGAATTCAGCTTGCAAACCACAGGTTCTTGTTTCCCTTTTGTTATTTCTGTTCGTCAGGAGCAATAAATAAAGTCCCTGACCCTTCCTTAGTCAGAAAAGACCCCTACTCACCAGCCATAGGTAACCACAGCCTCAGCCCCTTCCTGCTGCTGCGAAGCCAGCCACAGCCTTGAAAATGAAACTATCTGGCACTTCCTCATAGCAGGGGGCGGGGGCAAGGAACCAGACATTGAGCAACTGCTGCTTAGAACTTCTGAGTTCACCAGTCAGTCCGGGAAAATCCCTTGGGAAGAAATCTTTCTTCCTTTAGGGTAAAAAGGGAAAGAAATGCAAATGATGAAACATTTTCCTATTGGCTGGCACCCCTGACTGGTTTTTTCCCTTTTCCTTCTCCCACTTCCATGCCCCACACCTCCTTCTCTCTGTCCTTTTTCTGACCCCTCAGTATTTCTCCTCTGCTCACTGAAAACGCAGGAAGAAGTTAAAACTAACAGGTCTCCTTTTCTTTCCAGATAAGAAGTATCCAAAATAGCTTCTGTTTTCTGCTTTGACTGTGCTGGTATCATCCCCTCCCGGTCTGCCTGTGCTTTTGAGATTTTATGGATTAAGTTCTGAAGGAATCTGCATCTCCACTCTCCTCATGCTTTCCTGTAACTGCCTAAACATGCCTTCATGTTTAATTTTCGCTGAGGGTGACTTCTCACTACCATTTATTTTTCATATTCTCTGAACAATGAGTTATCAGAGAAGCAGTCTCAGGCTGTAGGAGAACAAATGCATGGCAGTAAAAAAAAAGATAAATACAGAAGATTAGTTAGTGGGGGGAAAAAGACTGTGGTATTCAACTTATAAGGTCTTCAAAAGGTCAGAAATTCACCTCTGCTCCTAATGGATTAGGATTAGGAAGGGCTCAAATTGCATGTGAAAGGTAGTCTTTTCAGTCCTTCCCAAGTCTAGCATTGCTGACTGGAGGATTTTACCCCAAACTCATTACCAATGCACCACACAAGGATGTTACTTTGTATACAACACATGCATAGGGTATCATGTATTGTCAGCTAATTGTTTTGTGTTTGTTGGGTTCTGTTCCCAATGGCACTGTAAACTGTGAGCTGCCTGGAGTTGAGTCAAAATTACTTTGCAGCCCTAAAAGACCTTAGGAAAGGACAGAAACTTGTAATTTCTGGGAGTGGTAATTTAGGATTTCGGATACAACACTTATCATACTCTGCATCCCTCCTGCTGAGCAGCAGGTTCTTTGAAGTCAGGTAGCTACTGTGATTGGCATCTGTATCCCTAAAACTGAGAGCCCAGAAAATGGTGTCTAGAAAGAAAGAATGGTGCTATTAGGTTGTTCATTGATCATGGATCAAGTCTAAGGACTCCGGATCCATTAAAAGCTCCAAATCCCACTGCTTGTCTTCTCAGAGTAGAAAAACACCATAACAACTTTTCATTTTTTTAAATTTCAGATTTATTAGAATGTTGAAAGAAATGTCTGTTTCCTGCAGACATGATTCCAAAAGCGGGAACAGAATGACAGGATTCCAGGTTTCCTACAAGAGAAAACACACACACACACACACACACACACACACACACACGCACACACACACACAAATATTTTTAAAAAGTGTCCTGCTAAAAGAAATGCAAGTTAAAAGATCACTCCACTTATGAGGACAGAAGGAAGAGATCATGCTATGTCTACATATTGCCCCACTGCGTGAAAGGAGGGGCCATCTAAAACCAAACTTTCATCATCTTACGGCCACATCTCAGTCTCTATCAGCTGACCCTGAGAAAGGGGCATCTGACTGCTGAACTTTGAGAGAAGAACAGCATGCTCTGCACTGAACCAGCAGAAAGCATCTTTTTAGTACCTCCCATTTACTATACGAGACTTTGATAAGGATGGAGTTGAGGCCTTCTTCCCCAACCTCGCCCACCCCCACCACACACACACACACACACACACACACACACACACACACACACATCTGTCCATTGACACTGATACAACTTACTTATATTAATGTCCTGGGAAGAGGTAGAAACATCTTGTCAAAGTCACTCTTTCGGTGGTGGGCATCTGTGCCTTACCATCAGGTGACTCAAATGAAAACCGAACCTAAATTGAAAAGAGAATCTGTATTTTTGTTTTCTTGAACAGAGGAACCTTCACTTAAGCTGGAAAAATTACAGAAAGTATAGCAAAAATAAGTCATAAAAGCAAAAAGGTTGTGCATCTGTAAGAATCCTAGTAATATACATATCCAAGCATGGGATGACCAGGCTGTTTTAATCTGTTGCTGGATCTAATTGCTATGGATACTGGGAAATCGGAGTCCACTTGTTTGTCTCCTTAGGGTCCGAGGGGAGTTAAAATAAATTATTATTTTCTGGGTGTTGGTTTCTAGATCATAGCAGATGGGACCTGCCTTTCAGGGTTGCTGACTCAGTAGAGAAACTCAAAGCTCATTTGGAAAGAAGGGCATTTCTGAAAGATAAGCCTGTCCAGAGTTGCTCCCTAGGTTTCCATCTGGGATAGTCAAGTATCAGGGAAATAGAGTATGAGAAACATCTAGAGCAGCGGTTCTCAACCTGTGGGTCGCGACCCCTTTGGGGATCGAATGGCCCTTTCACAGGGATCGCCTAAGCCCATCGGAAAACACATATAAAATTACATATTGTTTTTGTGATTAATCACTATGCTTTATGTTCAATTTGTAACAATGAAATTGGGGTCACCACAACATGAGGAACTGTATTAAAGGGTCGTGGCATCAGGAAGGTTGAGAACCACTGTTCTAGAGCCTTACCTTTCGGAAAATTTCCTCCATGTCGCAGGACCAGGCATATTCTCGCAAATTTTTGATAAGTTTCATAATAAAAAGAGAGCCATGTTTGGGATGTCTCCAGGAAACATTATCTGTGAATAAAGCACATTCCAAATCTCATGCAAACTTCTTGTCTGGCCAAAAAGATGGAATGCTAGGATTTCCCCTCCAGCTGAGGAAGCTTGTTGAGTTCATGCTGTTTTCTATACACTGTTTGCCATCATTTAGTGATATATCCAATGTGTAATGAGTACATTTTTACTGATACTTGACATTTGTTAATGCCATATGAAGGATGCCATAGATTGGGCAGATGTTAGGTTGGTATCATCTTAGGGTTCAGGATCTATAAATCTAGTAGATATGGAGGGGAGGGCAGAATGAGGTAGAGGGAAGTGATTGGGCCTTAGGGAAGAAATACCTGAGTGTGGATCCCAAGAGTATTTGTTTACTGACTCTAATTTAAGTTATGTATACACTCTGAAATGCAATGGCCTTGACTATAAAGGGTAGGGAGGGTAAAATTTTCTGCCACAAAAATATATTAAAAGATTAGATATAATGTATTATAAGTGTCTAGGAGAATATAGGATGTGTTATACCCAGTCCATACAGGGTAATTATATTAATAACATTTCAAATATTGACCTTGTAAATAATTTAATTAAAATTAAATACTATTGATCATAAGGTATTTGTGCAAAGAAAATGTTAACTGAATATGAGAATGCTACCAATATAAAAGAAGTACAAACCTAAAAAAGGGGTAAGAGAGAAAGATCATATTCTACTGGAGGACAAAACAGCCTTATGAAAAAGAAATACTGAAGAATAATATTAATTATATAAATAGTAGACACATAGAAATCACTGAGCCATTTTAAAATTTTAAAAATAAATGTATAAGAGAAAAGTGGTATAGCTCTGTATATAACCATGGACACAAGCTTTAACGAAACCTTTTAGCCAATAGTATTGGTAATAAAACATGTAATAACAATAGGTTAAAATTCTATTTAAAGCCACAGGTGTTTTATGAAGCTGGTTCCTATTAAAAGAAGGGGTTGGGAGAGAGGATGGAGGCAGAAATGTCCACACGTTCTTTGTGAAATTAAGGGAGTAAATGGCCCCGTGTGTTCAGGAGAGCACCACAATGTGCTTGCAATTAACACCAGAGAAAGTGAAGCTAAATTTACTAGTGGAAGATAACTAACTGAAGATAACAGAATTGATGTTTGTAAGTGTCATCTGCAATGGAGGGGTGAGGAAAGTAAAAGAAAGGGAGAAATAACTCAGCAAGACAGATTTTGAGAAGCCAGGAGGTCTACAAAAGACTATATAGCCAGAGGTAAATCTTTTTGGAAGGCTGGAATAAAGGGTTTTAAAGAAAATTTATGTTTAATACTAAAATCTGCTAAATACACTCAAGCTATAAATGTGTGGGACTTTTTGCCCAGCATCACTGTTTTGATTTTTGGGGAAAAAATGATGGATTTCTACATTAAGACATGGTCAACACACACACACACACACACACACACACACACACACACAAAATGTGAATTTCAAGAAATTTCAAAACATAATATATATATTCAGTGAGGAATTCAAATAAAGCCCAGAGAGGCTAAATAACTAGGACAATTTTACAAAATAGTAAATGGCAGGGTCAGATCATAATTGGCAGTATTCTTAATCCATAGCCTAGATTTAGAAATCATTATGGGTTTTTTCCTTTTTCATCCACTCTATACTTCTAGTTGAAAACAATTTAACTTGGAGGTTCAATATGCCTCTTCTGATTTTTTTAATCTCTCTCTCTGCCCCTATAAATACTACTTTTCTGTAAATACATGCTGATGTCTAGGCAAATTGAACTGCTGATTGAGCCCAACTTTGTAAACCTTCCCTAAGTGGAGTCATCTTCTAATTTACTTCAGTGTAGATATTTCTCAACTGATCCCAAGCAGTTCCAGGGAACTATGGTTGCACCATGGGAGTTTACTAATTACTAATTTAGTGAAAATATATGTGATCTCTGTGGGTAAGGATAATTGGAGTTTTAAACTAGGAGGACTGCTTTCGTTGTTCTTCAGAAATGTCATAGAAAGCTCAACAGATATCCATTCTCTACAGAGTGTGTGTGTGTGTGTATGTGTGTGTGTGTGTGTGTGCATTTCTGTATTGGCAATGCCCACAAAGGTGTTCTATACAGACACTCATTACCTGGTGTTGAAGAACAGAAAGCAATAAAATCCTTCTCTATATGGGCTTTCTTAATGGCATCATACTCAAAATCTTCTGGAGCCAATGAGAAGTCGTTTTCAGAACCTTTTGCTGAATCTTTTAACCACACCACCCCTTCGTTCTCTAGAAAGACAAGATTTGACATCTTGTTACTACCAACAGCCAGAAGATTAATTTTCTCTCTTAAGCCTCTGTCCAACTATATTTACTAATTTATTTGTGGCTGTCTTTCATTCATGTACGTGTACACACATACATCCCAGGAACTATCTTCTTAACAACCTTTATTTCTATGAACCCTAAATGAATTCTAATGACACTAAAACATCAAAGTCTTGAGACTAAAAGTGGTATCTTTTTAGTTGAAAATAGAATAAATATCTACTAACCATTCATATAACTCACAGAAGCTACAATTTTGTTTGGTGACAGTAGGTATTCTTTGACAATAAGTAGCAGGCACAAAACATGGACGGAAATGATGAGGTCAACACTTGCATATCTTGTGTTCTAACAGACATCAGCACTCACCACCACGGCAGGCCTGGATAATGATCACTTTGGGTTTGTCCTTCAAACTTGGACAGTTATAAGTGTTCAAACTTTGAAAGATGGTGTCGATGTCTAATACATCGGAGACTTCCTTAGAGTGTTTCTTCCCACAAATGCCTTCTCGAATACCATGAGACATGAACACCACGAACGTGCTGTCAGAGGTCTTGTGCTCCTTGCGGGCAGCGAAGGCACTCAGCTCTGCCTTCATGTCCTGGAAAGAGACCATGCCATTAATTTTGGACTAGGAGATCCATTATCAGAGCACCTGGGGAATTCAATAAAAAGGCACTTAAGGAATTCCTGGCTAATATAAAAATCAATGGGGTATAAAAGATAATTTAAGTTTTAATTTAAAGAAAGATGACATAGAGTTATAGGATGCCATTTGGGAATTTCTAGTAGAGAGGAAAGGGTATTATTATTTACAGAACAATTTCCAAATAAAAATTTCACTAGACTTTTGCTAAAAGACTCTTTGTTAGGAGGGGTGAGAAGCACCCTCCAAGGGCAAATTTAACTTTTATATTATCAAGAAATTAAGTTTCTGGTGCTACAACCAAAAGCTATTTAGTAAAATGAAGGGTGTGATCATTGTCCCTACATTCTGGAAGACCTTACCGAAGCAGTGAGATCTTCTTTCACATCCACGGTGTATCCCAGATCTTCTAGCAGCATCTTCATACCTCTGATATCAGCATCAGCTCCAGCTCTCCTGGAAAGCTTGTCAAACTCTGTGTTGCAGATAATGAGGGCAAGACGTGTCCGAGTAAACTTTCCCATGATTGGGTAAATCTGTCGGAAATGCAAATTGCATAAATGGTCCTGTTTCCTTTAATTAAATATTCATCATGAAGATATAAGACTGTTTCTCCCACTCTAGTTCTATCGAGAAACCAAATTTCATGAACCATAGTTACAGGAAAGGCAAATGAATCTTACTATAGGAGTTGAAATAGAGTCTACAAATGCCCAGATGACAACTGGTTAGGATTTTTTTTTTTGAGTTAGGATTTGAGAGAAGAACAGGCTTTGATGCAAGAATGACAGAATTTTAAAACCGACTCCTCAACTTACTGTTTTTGCCGAAATATTTCATCATCCAATGCACAATTTCCTGATCTATAACATGGGCTATTTTTAGGGTTCAAGGTGTTAATTCAAATATGTTTTCTCAACTCTGCAACTTGCTTAGAACAGTATCTGATTCATAGTAAGCATCCAATGGATGTCTTTGTTGTTCTTATAAGTATTTATTCAGGGAGCTGTATCAAACTTAGAACTCAATACCCAAACCTGGGATTCTAGGAGATAGGAACCCTTTATGTAAGGGAAGCAGCAGGATGACTTTCTAGAACTTCTCTAGGAAATTGGCTCTAAGAAAGCTCCACTGCCCTTTCAAAGAGTTTCCAGTTTTTCTTTCACCCGGATCCTGTTTTCTGAGCACAGCACCTCTGCTGACTTTTCATTCCATATCTTTTGTGCTATGTCTGGGGGACAAAGCTTGAGGCTCCCTCCTGGTCCTGGGAATGCAAGCTTAGCTGGGTTGTCTTGCACTGCCTGGGGAGCTGCAACAGACAAGAAACATTATGAACAATGGCATCCCTGAGTGTCCTGCCAGGTGCTCCTCACAGCCTGAGCTGCATATGAAGCCACAGAGGAGGAAGTGAATCCTTAAAAGAAAAACCCTGGCCAACTCTGCTGAGGGAGTCACTGCTGTGGGAACACATTCCACACCAGAGGAGGTTTCTATTGGTGCGATACAAGAATCAGCCTTTATCTCTGAGGATCGGCATTTTTATAAACATTTTAGATTAGAAGAATAAAAAGGGAATTTATTCAAGACCATGCATGATATAACTCTCAAAAAACAATCAATACGTTAGAAAAAATATTTAGGACATAAATTTATTTCAAATGATTTAATATTGATAATAAAATATAATTGATATAGAGCTTAATCACTCTATTTTAATGTTTTTAAAATATATATGTTTATTTTTTATTTACTTAAGATGCATTAGAGATGGAAAGGAAGGAAGGAGGAAGGAAGGATGGATGGAAGGAAGGAAGGGAGGGAGGAAGGGAGGAAGGGAGGGAGGGAGGGAGGGAGGGAGGGAGGGAGGGAGGGAGGAAGGGCTTTTGTTCTGTTCTCCAGGATCTCTCTAATGTGTGTATGTATGGGAGAAGGAGGAGGAATACTGAATATATTAACTAGAATGACTATGAAATAGAATGATAATTGCTAAAATCAAGATGCATACTAGATGGATTTATAGCACTAAACATTGATTACACCAATATATGAGGAAGAGTTTTAAGAGTAATTTATGTGAATGATGCCTTTAGGTTTATTTTATTACAAATTCAACACTATCCAATGGTGTGATGTAATTGCTAAAGAAGTAACATAATGTCTTTTTCAAAATAAATATATTTTCTCAATATTTGGAAGATCTGTCAAAAACTAAACATTCAAACAAGAAAGTTATATGCAATTTTGAAGGAAATTTTGAAGACATTATCATACATTTAATTAGGCAAAGCAAGGCAGGCTGAAATGTGTTTACTGTGGGTAAAGTAAAAGATAATTGGAATTAGTTTATTGAAGAAAACTATAGAAATCATTATTAGGTGGAAGAAATATTCTATTTCTTCATACAGGAATCTGAGGAACAATGGCAAATATTTGAATTACATTAGAGCTAATTTTTCCTAGTAAAGGAATGAGCATTTGGTTATATAGTGAGTGTCTCCATCCCATGAAATATCTAAGAAAAAATTCATGGGATAAACACCCCTAATAGATTTACTAGAATAATTTATAATTTGGTGAAATATTTGCATCTGTGGCCTCTAAATATCTTCCAAAATTTAGAGAAAATAATCACTTTTAGCTGAAATACTTCAAGAACTGTGGGTAAAATACTGTCCCAGGACAAATAAAACGCTGATTATTTAGTAAATAAGAGGCTGGACTCATAATGCTTAAAGCTCAGTGGGGGACAATGATGAATTTATTTTTTAAAATACAAGAAAAATATAGTGAGATTATGGCAGGAGAATCTTAGGAAACTGTGGGAATAGGAGCTATGAACTATAGTAATACAAAGAGAGTGGCTACACAGATCTGGATTTGAGAGAGGAATCAATAAATCTCAGACACTGAATGATAGAGCTGAGGAAGAAGAAAGAGCTAAAAATTGAATTGCAGGTTTCTAGTTTGAATAACTTGGTAATGGTGGCACCATAACAAAGAGAGAGAAAACTGGAGGAGAACCAAGGTGTGAAGGAAGGCAGATGGCAAGTTTAGCTCTGGATATGTAGAGAAAAAGGGGCGTTCAAGTGGGTAGTCAGAATTTGAGACACATATTCAGAATTGGTATAAACATGGTAGCGAAACTGTAGGAATGACCTCTGCTAAAGCAGAATAGATTGAAAAGAGCAAAAGGCATAGGATCAATCCAGGAGAATTACCCATTGCCTCCTCACCCCGTGTTTATCCCAAGAATCTGTAGTTAATGTCAAGGAAGATGGGGTTCAAAAATGTTCTTGCTTTGAACATGCCATTACCTGGGAAGGGAAGAATCTCTGCTTGGGAGTATTGTGTATTATGATCAGTTCTTGATTGTGCACCTGAGGAAAGATAAGGGCCATAAATTAGTCACTTATATCTGTTGGAAACTCCCTATTGAAAACAAGGTCCACAAGCTTTGATATGTTCAAATAGCTGTTTACCTGGAACCACACTCATCACTGAGAAACAAAAGCCTCTCCACATTTATTCCTGGACATTAACATTTGAGGCAGAACAGAAGAGTGCCTGCAAATGAATCCCTTGATTTCTGCTTTCTATGATGAAAGTGGCATTGAGATTCCATCAGCTATAGAAGCAAGAGTGTTCTTACTAGTAATATGCGTGTTTCAAGGTGGCTCCTGAGGTGACCACTACTGCATAACAGGTATATGCAAAGCGAAGCTGTGTAACTCAGAGCTGACTTGGATTTTAGAGAAAACCAAGAAAAGACTTGGACAATTACACTGCCAAGATTTGTTGCAACAGAAAATGATGACAAGGTGACTCACTTCTCCACCATCAATCTGTGTTAAGTTAATTTTCTAAGTGCCATAGATCAGGAAAGTGGTAGAGCTAGGATATAAACACAAATCTGGGCTCTGGTTAACTGAAGCACTCTGCCAGCCCACAAAGGGCACTACGGATTTATGCACGTGACAGGGGCCCTGGCCACAGTCTCTGTAATCTGCACTTGCCCTACTCAGTGGCATGCTCTGAGGAAAAAGCAAACAAACACTGAAAAGCCTGTTCCACTATTTGGTTGCATAAAACAACTCAAGCCTATTAATGCATCCTCTGAGGTCATGATTCATTATGCTTGTGAATTTCAAGGACAGGAATTACATTTAAGGTTCTTAAAGTTTTTATAAGGATCTCAATCTATACATATATAAAAGCTTAAGTGACTAGCCTACCAGCTGTTTAACTGGTAGCTATGATGCTAAATTCAGGAGCGGAAACCACAGGCATGAAAACATGGAACAGACTGATGAATCTCAGAGGCAAAGGGGAAAGGGGGAGGGCGGGAAGAGATTAACCAAAGATCTTATATGCATACTAGAGGCCCACTGCACAGATTTTGGCACTGGTGGGGTCTCTCAGCCTGGCTTGAGCCCTCTTGCAATCCAGGACTCCTTGGGAGATGGCAGAGAGCCAGTTTTGGTCTGATCCCCGCAAAGGGACCCCACCAGTGCCAAAATCTGTGCACTGGGCCTCTAGTATAACAATACACACCTTGGAAGTTTAATCCAGAAATTCTAAGAATTGGCATGTGCTTACACATGTGAAATACACTGAGTTTTCATCCCATAGTTACAATTGAAGACAAAATTTCCATAGACAGAATATGGTCCACTTCCCTGCTCTGCATGAGGGAGAGCCATAGGCTGTCCCTCAAAATGCTGAGCCCAAGGCGACAGACTGCAGCTCGTCCCATCCTTCCCATCCAGACTGCTGGACTAACTTAACCGTCAATAAGTTCAAGAACGTTTTCTGGAGGAAAACTTGTGGTGGCAGGAGTGTACATGTCAAGAACTATTTTTTTAGAAAGATCTCTCCCATTAGAGTCATTCAAATATGTCATTGAATTACCATATTCTGTGGCCCAGAAAACAATTGCCAAGTAGATGAGAGAGAGACAAAGGCATGACAGCCTGACTGAGGAGGCATCAGCTGGCAAGCAGCCACGTGACTCCAGGTGTTGGCTTTATTAGAGTGGTTTGTCCAAGTGCCTCTAGGACTCAAGGATTATGAACTGAAAGGAAGAAGAAACTGGGGCAAAGAAGAAGAAAGGTTGGCTACTATACAATTATTCTGAACCCTTATTGTTAGTATTGATTGTCTTTAATTTGAGGGAGTGTTAAATGGAAAAAAAGGGTATTAAAAGAGAAACCGGAAGTTACTGAGAGATGAGCTTTGCTATGTCAGTAAGCCAGGCATAGGCTTCCCCTAGTCCCGGAGAAAAAGACATCTTGCTTTCAAAGAACAACTTTTCCCTCTGATTGCATTTGGGAAGCATAAAAGAGACCAGGGGTTGAGAGTCCATCAGAGCTCCCATCTCGGCTGTGTGGGGGCCGTAGGCACTATAGATAGAAGGGGCACGTCAGATGCCTGTCTGTCTTGTATCAGGGCCTCAGGAGCATGTGAGGTAGAGGTCGGGCCTTACACAATGGTCTACAGCCTAGTTCCGTGCTAGTGGACAACATCACTCAAAGAAAATGCAAGAGGGCAATTAAATGAAAGAGTCCACATTTAAAATCCTAGCTTTTCTGTCAGGATTGAGTTTTTTCTCTGAGTGCTTCACCATCATTGAAATATTTTATTCCTCCTGGAGAGCAAACTTTTGGAGAGAAATTTTAAAACTATTCAATGACAGACTTTAAATCTTCATGTCCGATAACTATATAAGTTACTAGGGATTCTTAGACTTAAGTAACTAGCTGACTAACTAACTAACTAACTAAATAAGTAAAGTGCATTGCCAGGAGGACTAGAGAGTGTGGTATGAAGTTTATCAGACTGTTCTCATAAACTTCAACAACTGAGCTACCATATACTCAGGATGGGAAGTGAGTTTTAATTCTTAGAAAGATTCTGAGGCTAAAGGAATAAGAATAAAGAGTAACGAGACTGGGGATATTCAATAGTGCCACTGACTTAGAAATTGGGCCCTGAAGCCAGATGTAAAGAAGTTGTCGGCAAACTATCATGAACAATGAAGAAATCTTATGTGGGTGCAAAGACATGGGGCCTGAGTGGACTTTGGTCCAAGCTGTAGACCTTACCTGAGGGCAGCCCCATCTTCTCTGCAAGGTGGGAGTCGATTTCACAGATGTGATCGATACATACTTTGCTTGCCTTGTCCCCTTTCCGAGTGACTGAGTCAATCAAAGCTCGGGCCTTATCCATATCTGTGGCATTTTCACGTCTTACTTTCTCCATCTCCTCCTGGTTCAGCACTCTTTTCTCTAATAGGTCATCCAACAAGCCATTTATGGTGCCCGAGGTCACTGATTGGACAAAAACCATCCTCTTCTCCTTCAGGACTTTGTCTGCTTGAAGCACAAGGATTCCTCAAGTCACTAAACAGCCTCATTTTCCTCTCAAGTCAGCAACTGCCTCCTTTAGATTTAATCAATAAAATGTCCCTCCCCATGCAGTTCAGTCATCCTGAGCTACCCACATACCTCACTCTTCCCTCAGTGCTACCCAGTGTGCTCACTGAGAGCCTGAAGTCAGAGATTTACTATCAGTGCCTCCTGTTTATTCAACTCTGCATAATAAAAGAAGGAAACAATGATAGCCTATTTCCCTGGGGACAGCAGCTGCTGGTACCCATCTCATGGGGATCCTGCACCCTTTGGCAGATAATTCAGTTAAGATTGCAAAATGACAGGGTAATACCAGTAAAGCCCAGTTCCTTTCCGGCCCTCACCCTGCCTTTCTGAAAGCTGAGAGTCTTAGGGGCCCCTTCTCTACTTCCTTTTCTCCTCTTTCCTCTTTCTTCCCTCTCCCTCAGTTCTGTTCACCTAAACATTCACAAAACCTAATTATGGCTTCACCAAAAGCCAGACACTTTCAAAAATTTTTCCCTTTTAGAAAGTAAAAACAAACAAACAAACAAACAAAACAGAACAAAAAAACCCCAAAACTCACCGGCCATGGCTTTTCTCTCCTAGCCTTGGAGTGCAATTTGAAACTGAAAGCATGTTCCACCTTCCTTTTCAGCAGGGCGTGTACACTTATTAGGAAATACCAATTGCTCATTCATATGCATGTCTTTATTTTTCTCCAAAGTAATAATCTTATTGCTTACCTTCAGAGTGCCTCCTGGTGTACATCCTTGGAAAATTTCCTTCACCAGCACTGGATGAGGCTGGGGTAGGAAGGGAGTGCAGCCCAGAGGATAAGAAAGTGAAGAGAAATTTTGCATTCACTTCAACTCACACACTAATGAATCTCTCAGTCATTAGGGAGTGTGATCAGGAAAGCAACTCATCCTTTGGTGTCTTAGTCCATTCACGCTACTGTAACAAAATGCCACAGACTGGGTGGCTTATCAACAAGAGGACTTTATTTCTCCCAGTTCTGTATCTGGAAGCCCAAAACCAGGTGCCAGCATGATTGGCTTGTGGTGAGGGCCCTTTTCAGGGTTGCAAACTGCTGACTTCTCATCATGACCTCACCTGGCAGAAAGGGTGAGCTAGCGCTTTGGAATCTCTGTTTCAATTGTGTGAATCCCATTCATGAGGCTTTTGCCCACATGATCAGTTCAACTGCTAAAGTCCTCAACTCCTAATACTGTCACCGTGGGCCTTCGGTTTTCAACATCTGAGTATTGGAGGGACACGTACATTCAATCTATAGAATTTGGAGAAGTTGAACCATTGTGATCCGTGTCCCTGTCCTGCAGATCTGCTATGTCCTAGGAACTATGTGTTTCTGAGAAGCAGCTCTGCTATTAGGAGTGAAAACATTTTTCACCAGATCAAATATTTTCTTATCTAACACTTTCTTTTCGGGTTATTCTTTTTAGTGGGATACTGTAGAGACTAATGGCTCAGACTCTGGACTCAGAATGTCTGATAGCATTTTAACCTCCCTTTCTTCAACAAGATATTAAACTTTCCTATGCTTTTGGTTCCTCTATTGGTAAAATAAGTTAATTAATAGTACATAGCTACACACCTTTGAACATTATGTGAATGAAAATATGGAAATTGCATAGCACATCGTGAGCACACAATGTTATTATTTGTTATTAATATTGTTTTAATTTAAATATTTCTAAATTAAATAGCCAAGGTTAGTTATTTGCAGGTTATCTAGTTAAATTTCTCTCTTGTGAGAATCCTCCTCCATCTCATTCATTCATTCAGTCACTTAGCATATATATCTGGGTGACCTACTCCATGTTAGACACTGCTCTAGGCTCCAGGCGTTCAGTGGTCCCTTGCCTCATGGCTTCACATTCAAGGTGAGAAGAGAAAGGTGAAACCAATATGTGACTGGGATAGTGTGAGAGTGTGGTAAGTGCTAAGGAGAAATTAATTAAGAAAGCCATAGATGAAATATGGAGGATGTTAAAACTGAAGACAGGAGCACAGGAAGGCCTAAAGAGTCACTGCTCTTTGTAAGCACGTGTTTAATTGCTCATCCCAAAATAAACTCAACATAACCAATTTATTTCATAGATATGATTGATGGAAGATAGACTAATAACAAAATGTTTATTAGTCTTTCAAAGTTATCAATTTATTTACTAAAAATACTGATGGGAATATTACCTTGGTTTCTTAAGAGAATATTAACACAGAGTTAGTAAAACATGCAGTGTGTGTGTGAGCATGCGTACATGCAGGAAATATCTAAATTAAATATTATTAGCTGTAATACTACTATTTTACTATTAAAAGCAAACTTACATTTTAACACATGGACCACCAGTTCCTTGGTGTGATGTAGGCTACTTGTTAAATTTATTTTTTCATTAGAATAAAATCCACTGTATAGATTTTAATCTAAGACTTTTCTCAGTGTGTTTTTATTTTTACTTTGCTTCTTACCCAATCCAGTATGCAGCACAATCTTGTCACCCTTGGCACAGGGAAGCTTGTTATAGGGAAGAAAACAGAAATTGCATGTATATCTCTTCCCGTATACATTTATATTTATTCATCTATTTCTGAAATGCCTTAAGGATTTCACATGAGTGCTTCCCTATAAGCCAGGGCCATACACCGATGAGTTGAAACATGCTGAGGTAGCATTTCAGCCACAGAAAGGATGGCCAGGCAGTATGCCTGGGATGTAGAACCATAAGTTTTGATCCTGGGAAGCTAAGTAGAGAGTCATTACATAGCAAGGGCCCACTGTGTCCTCAAAAATGAAGATGCTAAAAAAATGGAAACATTCTAAATATCTATTTTAGGTTCATGCATGAGTGATCAAATTGTGCTAAATACACACACTGGGATACTACTCAGCAATAAAAAAGGAGCAAATTAGTGATACACGTAACAACCTTGATGAAAACATTATGCTTTTATTATGAGTGAAATAGCCATATACAATAGAATACATATCCTATGATTCCAATTATATGCAGTTCTAGAATAGGAAAAACTAATGTATTTACATAGAAAGCAGGCCACTGTTTTCCTGAAGATGAGGTGGAGAGAAAAATGAGTGCAAAGGGCATGAAGGAACATTTTGGGGTGATGGAATTGTTCTGCATCTTGATAGTGTTATTCTACATCAGACATTTATAAAGAATAATCAGATTAAATCATTAAAGGAGTACATTTTATGTTATGTAAATTATACCACATAATATTTACTTGCAAAAACTGAAATCAATGGTTGTAGTGATACACTGGATTAGAAAGGATTTTCTGTCTTGTTTTAGGAATATACACTATTCTCAACAATTCAGTTGAAACTTAGTGACTAAAATGGAATTACCTATAGTTGGATGGACAGAATGGAAATAAATTTTAGAAATGATAAATATGTCAACTCAGCTATGTATGTAGAAATAGTGTTAGATTGACTGTTACATAGATAAAATCATCATAAAATAAATTAATGGAACAGTCCAATTATAAGTCATGTTTTAAAGGAAGCATACTGAATTAAAAATCCTCATGTCAGACTTGCCTGTGACAGCCTGTCCAGCAATATTGCCTTGAATAACAGTAGGTGGAATGAAAAGCTCTTACACAGAAAGCAGAAGACCCCTGTGCTTGTGTTCTGGTTGTGCCATTTTCAACCCTTAGAAAGCCACTTACATTCTCAGTGTATTATCTCTTATTCATTTTTATTATTTTAGGGCTATTAGGACATTGTGATTCCTACATCTTAGAAAACTAACCATCACATGTTATTTTATTTTTCCTTTGTCTAAAACCTCTTTTGGGGGGTGAAGTGGTTAAGTGATTAAAGTGACGGACTGCTAAAACCTCTTTTGTACAGTTTATTAGCATGGACTTTGAGATCCAATAGCTCTGGGATAATTTACATAATTTACTTACAGACCTTGGACAATTTATTTAACATCTCTGTGCTTCCGTGTTCTGATTTGTGTGTGTGTGTGTGTGTGTGTGTGTGTGGAAGGGGGATTCATAATTGTTCTTACTTTCTAGGATGGAATAATGTGGGTAAAGACCATGTCACAGTGCTTTCTGTCTATACTAGTCATGAGCCATATTTCAGAAGCTGGATTGTCAAAATATACTTTGTAAAGCGCTTATAAATTGTTCATATGCTTTATTTCATGGCCTGTCATGATAACTGTGCAAGTTAAACTGGTTAAATAAATGTTGATTCCATTTTATGGATAAGAAGACCAGATTAAAAAGAAAGTTGGTTCAGAAACTTGGAAATCACAAATTAAAGAATTTGGGTGAGAAATGTGCTCTCCTCCTTGTTTTATATAGTCATGTGCCACATAATGATGCTTTGGTTAATAACAGACCCATATATGAGATGGCCCTATCTATACTAATAAAAGGGTAATATGCCAATTAGACTAGACATCTTCTGGATGTCCTTTCAGACAAAGCCGCAGTGGCAGGGGCCGAGGCAGAGGCGGTGGGGAGTAATCAGGCTGGCAGAGGGGAGCAGTTAGGGGGTGATCAGGCTGGCTGGCCGAGGGGGGGGCTGTTAGGGAGTCATTAGGCTGTCAGGGAGGGCAGTTGGGAGCAATCAGGCCAGTAGGGGAGGGCAGTTAGGGGTGATCAGGCCGGCAGGGGAGTGGTTAGGGTGCAATCAGGCTGGCAGGCAGAAGCAGTTAGGGGCAATCAGGCAGGGTGGTAGGCAAGGGGTTAGGAGCCAGCAGTCCTGGATTGTGAGAGGGATGTCCCGAATTGTGAGAGGGATGTCTGACTGCTGGTTTAGGCCCTGTGGTATCGGGCCTAAACAGTTTAGGTTCTGTGGGATTGGGCCTAAACGGTTTAGGCCCTGTGGGATCGGGCCTAAACTGGCAGTCGCACATCACCCAAAGGGTCTCAGATTGGAGAGAGTGCAGGCTGGGCTGAGGGACACACCCTCCCCCAGTGCACTAATTTCATGCACTGGGCCTCTGGTATATTATAATGGAGCTGAATTTCCTGTAAGAAACAGAATGATATGTGGTTCAGGAGGAATTATTTTTCTTTTTAAATTATAGTTCAGATATAATATTATAGGTTTCAGGTGTATATCCCCATGATTAGAAGTTTACATAATTTGGAAAGTGATCACCCTGATAAATCTAGTACCAATTGACACAATATATAGTTATTACAATACTATTGATTATATTCCCTCTGCTGTACTTTACATCCCAGTGACTACTCTGTAGATACCAACTTGTACTTCTAAATCCCTTTAACTATTTTTACTTATCCCTCTAACCACCCTCCCACCTGGCAACCATCAATAAGTAACAGGTATCTGAGTCTGTTCTGCTTGCTCGCTTATTTTGTTTTTAGATTTCACATATGTGAAAATATTTGACATTTGCCTTTCTTTGTCTAACTTATTTCACTTAGCATAATACACTCTAGGTTCATCTATGATGTCACAAATGGAAAGATTTTATTCTTTTTTTGTGTAGCTGAATTACATGCCATTGTATATATGCACCACTTCCACTTGACCCATTCATCTGTTTCTGGACACTTAGGTTGCT